AAAAAAAAAAAAAAAAAAAATTGAAAAGAGATCAGACGGAAAGGCGCAAATGATAGAAACACTGGAAATCATACAGCTAAAGAAACGAATACCGTGCCACGGACAGCCACTCGTGAAGAGGATCTAAGCAGCAAGAGGCGTGGCGAACGGTTGGTGGAATAGGTCCGTCGCAGTTATTTACTTGATTGAACACCGATGGGGGCGTTTCCCGAAGAAAAGTTCTGGGCTATTAACGTGTGCCTTTGGGTTCGAAAGTGTAAAGTCCATCGACCACGTGGTATTTGATTGATGGACTTTGTTGTTACTCTCAGTTATTTCTGGCAACAGTTATATTTATCAAACATGGCCTAATGTTTCGGTTCTTTGATATCAAGTTCGGAACTGAGAAGTTCACACTAATGACCTGGCGGGTTTCGGTTTTGCTAAGAGACAAGTTATATACGTCTCTTGAGGGGTTGACTGGGAATTCAGGCATTCGACTGACACTTGTCCGATGAAGAATTCTGGTTTCACTTGGAGTCTTCTCGCAAAAAATGCGCTTTTGTAGTCGACAACACTTTAAATTTTGGAAACAAAACGCAGTGAAATTTTCGACCTTTCAAAGGCGCTGGTGAGCCCTTTCAGGTAATAAACGAAAGCCACGCGTTGTTTGTTCCTTGCCGCCAATATTCACCTCGTGTGGTGTTTAAATTCTTTTTTCTTTTTTTTTTTTTCATCCGTATCACCTTAATATGCTTTTGGAGAACGGCATAATGTGTGTAACACTGTCAGTTATTCTGATTTTCAAGATGGAAAAGGAAAGGAATGAAAAAAAGCAGTCTCTGCATCTCGACTGCATTTAAGACACAATCAGCTTCCCTCTCCCCTCATAACTTAGGCATGAAGTTTCGCAAGTGCGACATATCACTTTTTTTGTTTTGACCGTATAAACTAGGAAATGAACTTTGCCATGTGTGATCCAGACCCAAAATAAAATTCGCAAAAATTTTATTTCCATAGAGAAATTACCTAATCTTACAAATGTTCCTCTCCCATCTTTTCAACTAAGAGACAAGAAAAGCTCAATATTCCGAGATTTATTGTTACTGAGCAATCAGATCCAGGGGGAAATTCTCAAGAAGTGCAAACGGTACTTGAATTTTTGGCACCTGAGCTTCACTCCCTTTCTACACTGACTCAAAAAGTCCTGATTTCTGAAAAAATTTCACAAAACTTGAAACAAATTTGGATTTTTTACCATTGATGCGGAAATCTCCTAACAATTCCAAAATCTTTTTCCTGTTTAAAAGATGGACCCCTTTAATTAATTCCTCCTGTATTCCACTTGACGTAGATACCACATTAAGGTCTCGGTACCCACATTCAGAAACAGACTAGAGGTACCAACTCAAATTTTCCAAGGAGAGTCAGTGGGTTGTAGCACTAAATTCAAAGCCAACCTTCTCACTGGTCACGCTCAAAGAGATTGTGCGAATAGCAAAGTTCGTCTTTTCAGAACGCCAATTACGCAAGCTACCGTTATCAAATTGTTAAAATGTAAATTGTAGTTTTTGATGTCAGTGTCATACATCTTATGCCTAAACAAGCTGTAAAGGTCCAAGAAGTTAGTAAACACGCCACCATTGATCGCTTTACTCTGCCGCTATTTGCATCCCTCCGCGCCAGAATTCGCCAATTAACACGGTCAAAGTTGACAACTGGTCCACCTGCGCGTGTTGTTTACCGTTAACTACACCGCCCTCTTCTTCTGCACTAACTCCGATTATTGAAATATTTTCTATTTTTTCGTTTACTGAGATGGTTTCCTGAGCACTGGATTCAATCAATCAATGGGCTCGAGAAGCGGTAGGTTGGAGAAAATCAAGCAAAAAAGATATGCAATAGCGCGATAAGTCCAACAGACAAAGGAAAAAAATTGAACTATAAGAAGTTCGCTGAAAGATATATTTCCGTTAAAAATGGCGAAGAAAAAATGTAAACCGGATAAATCGCATTAAATCGTGCACATCTTTCAAAGAGTCTTGAGCCTCTTCTAATTTTTGAACAGTAGCCTCGTGTAGGATTAATAAAACAGAAATTTATCTCAAAAACTTATCTCCCTTCGTACCCGCAAAAAATTTCCTAGTTTCTAATTCAACGAGTATACATGAGTTGACTGCATCATTCAATTAACACTCTACTAAACTATGCAAATTCGGCTCTTGCACGAAAGCAAGACAAGGACTCACCGCACATGAAAATTAAAAAATTCTCTTCCGTTTGCAAATTAAGAGGAAGAATGGTAAAACAGCAGAAGAACTTGAAAGGGTACAACCTCTTTAAGTTCAAATAAACTTTGAAACCCTGATTTGTAAAAGAATGCCAGTCCACGACTGGTCTTCCGCAATCACCTCTGATAAACTCTAACAAAAACAATTCCTACAAGTGTCTTTTCCGTAAACCTTCAGAAAAATGTCAGTTACGTAAAAAAATACCTGACTTAAAATGTCTTCCAGCAAGTCAGTTGTTTCAAAGTTTCAGATCTTGCACTTCATGAAACTACTTTCAAATTCTTCTAACGTCTAAATTGCAGCTGACAACATATCCTGGTGATAATTTTGTAAAGCAAAAAAAAAGTGTCCAATTACCTAGCAAGAAAGAAGTTACAACTCCGGCCAAAACCCTCCATAAAACCAATTTTGTTAAACTCGCAACTGATACGCTTCCAGAAATACTAATGAAAACTTGATCGGCAGTAAATCCGCTCTAACATCTCATTGAAAGGAAGGTGAGAGCAATTCTTGACTTTTCTGTATCAAATCAAGTATACGATATGAGGTCCCGACAGGCAATAAATAATGCGCAAAACCACCGTATGCAAAGCTCTTTTTGAAAGCAAATGTGCAGCAGCATGCCTTTGCCATCTGAACAAATAAACCAGTTCTCCGCTCCACTCACTTTCTAGGTCTTTGAATATCCAAACCGTCGCTCAAATTCCCTTTGCAGAATACACAAGGACCCTGATTAGGTTTATAGTCCTCACTCTCGCAAACTAAACAGTTCCAAAAAAAGCTCTTTGCTAACCTCTCCAAAGTCTACACTTCCCGCCAAGTTTCCTCAGAATTCTTAGGCTTATAATGAACACATAATATATCCACACTCTTCGTCAATAAGAAACTTCCTGCGTGTGGTCCTACAAACATAATCCGTCCTCCGGGCAATCACTTGATAGTTTCTTTATGAACAGCTGCACCTTGATAGCCACTTCGCGCGCTCCAGTAACTTTACCCGTGTCAAGATCCGGTATAACTCTAACTGTCAGCTTCTATGCTGTAAGCGGTGAGAAGAAAAATTGCAAATTTTTCGGGAGACAGCGTAGAACAACTGCTGTAATTTATTTGGAAAAAAGATAGTGGGCGAGCAATATCTAACGTTTACCAGTAAAGACGAAGCACCAGAAAATCCTGCCAGTGTTGCTTCCAATGCAACACCAGCTCAAACAAAAAAAAAAAGGAAAAAAATCAAAGTTCCTAAAAAACAGCAACGCCAACTATCAGTAACAAATGATAAAATACAAAAAATTGAAGCGTTACACTTAGAGAATAGACCAGAGCACAACAAGAGCCAACATTATCGCGCTCTGCAAACGAGAGCCCTGCCAAGCACCGGAACCCATTTCAATAGACGTTATTTCAAAAGGACGCAATTCTTATACCAAAATTTCAACATACCGTTTACCAACAAGGAATTTTTCTATTAAAGTGGCCACAGAATCCAAATGACTGCATATACCTTAAGCACTACACCAGGCAGCTTTCAGTCTAGCACAAATTCCTCTGAACATGCTCAGTAAAACTTCCGAACCAAAAATGATGAATGTTTATGCTCAAAACAACGGAAAAAACTATGTGGAAGCTCCTGCTAACTCCTTCCTATCCAATATAACTTAACGTATTTACTCATTATGCATCAGAGAAACTCATTTGAATGTTGCAACAACTTCCCACCCACCAGCACTTAACTGTTAAAAGTTTTAACTAATCATATCAAACTTGTTGTTTTTTCGAATCGCGCTAGGATCAGATAAAAACCTTATAGCTCCTGCTTAGGCGGGACAGGAAAAATGCCCCCAAAGTATTTCTTAACCGCCGTGCTTAAATCATTGGAGAAATGAGCACAGGAAATTTAAGCGGATAGGTCTAAAATAAAACTCGAATAACAAACTGCAACCGCAAATTTCAAGCATGAAAAATGAGTTTAAAATACAAAATGCTTAAGCCACACACTCCAGTCAGGAACAAAATGAAAAAAAAAAAAATAGCGAATCACTGCGTTAGGGTTGCTAGTGATCTACGTAAAACGGAAAGCCTACTAAAATACAATCATGCAAGATTCAAATGAGCAATCATGATCAACAACGTTCACATACTCGACTAAACTCTAAGTCGAAGCATCCTGCAAGAACCATTTACAATAAATCCTAACGCAAATAAAGCAGGAAACGAAAGCCAATCCACAGAGGCACAGAGCTAAGCCAGGAAAAAAAAAAAAAAAAAATTAAAAAGACTGATACAGCGAGTCTACTGAAAACAAAGTATATAAGCGGCAAAACAAAGTAAATCAAAAACTACTTCAGAAAAGACAAAACCGCACACTTCAGAATTCATTCAGAGCATCAGCAACTATAACACACCAAAACTAATCCCTTGTTACTCCGAACGCGCCTACAAGACTGTCAACTGTATCTGACGGGAACATAGAGGGAATGGACATCAACAACAAACTTGAGAATTCCCATCAAGCTATTCAACAACAATCAGAAACGTCAAACACAATTTCAATCTATCATTGAAAAGATACAAAATCAATTTTTCAATTAAAAAAATCACGGAAACAGCAATCTTGCACAATGTCAACAATTACCAGCAGCGTCAAACCTACTCTGATAAAAAATCACTGAAAAATTACTCTTGAATAACAGTAGTTCTCAACTTTCTGTTCATGTATAAAAATTGTTATAAACCATAACTTTTACACGTAATCCGTTAACACGAAAGGAGAAATGGTAATAACAACAAAAACAAAGCGTCAGCTAAATTTGCTGAAAAACTAAAGGTACCAAGCAGGAAAACCCAACAAAAGAAAACCTCCTATTTCTTTGAGTCCCGTAACAATTGCTTACTACGAATAGTTAGTTAAGCGATAGAAATTAACGAACTCACCAAGTCGAAAAAAAAAACTGCTTTCAAGCTTAGACTAATGTTCTCTACGCAGACTTTTGCCTGTCGCGACGGCACGCGAAATGGCATGGAGGCACCAGTTGGTAACGAGGCTAGACATAGCCCTGAAGGAACGCTCTTGGGGGTTATGTGGTGGATCATTGCAATTACTAAAGCTTTATAAGAGCAAGATACGGAAGGAGCTTGCTGTCTGTACTGTCGTGATCAACAATAGTGATTGTGTGATCGTCCCAATCCATTAGTGTCCTCCTGCTCCTTATATTATTATATTTCAGCAATTCCCTCTTAGATTTTGTTCTTCCCTTTTTTCTTTTATATTGGTTTCGACTAATTTATTATTGTTTCTTAAATTTCTTCAAGTTCTATTATTATTCATTTGAAGTTGTTTCAGTTTATTTATTGTGATAATTCTTTACCTGTGTTGGTTAAAGTCATTAGTGGTCTTCTGAACCAGCGGTCTTTCTCAAATTATATTATAGGTTTATCTCAAATAAAGAATTATCAAAACAAATCAAACGTTTGACAACGTTACCACCCTACGCTAGCACAAGTAAATACAGTCCTCAAAATAAATATAGTGCTGCAAGCGTCGGCGATTACGATTGCTTGCGATTTAAAAACTGTAAAAGATCAGTTCCCAGTAGGGACGCTGTAGAGGAGTTACAATCAACTCCCCAATTAAAAGGAGTGTCGGTTGTCGCGACACTGCCTCTCAGGTGCTCAGAACCTTTAAAATATTAACTGCCAAGACCATTATAACGCTAACAAAAGGAAATGGCAGATGACCGCAGGAGAAGCTCCTATCCGTCAATTCCCATCAGGAGACACAAAATTTAGGGAAACTAAAATTCTACGTTCTTGCTCGAAAGCCAAACACCTGCTTCCAAATAAACTGGACCTGAATAAGGGCAAATGTTCAGTTGCCACTGAACACAAAAACAATGATGTTTCGTCCGCACACTAAAAAAAACGAAGTTAATGGGCACGATCACAGAACACGTAACACAGGCCATAAGACACAACGAATAACGGCGCTACTAGTTACCTAAGAAACGAACTACTTTTCCCACTCACATGAGGACTCCAGACTAGCAAACAACGTAAGAAAATGAGATTTGGAGCAATCGTAACACCAAAAAAAACGAAAAAGCAACAACCAGAATAAACAGAAGAAACAAATAAAATTGGCAAAATTAATAACTAAAACTGAACGCACACATCGAAAGTGTCTCAAGCCTCCTAGTAAATTAATAGCATAAACGACGAAATGTAAGCTTTCAAAAAACCTATCAAATACAACAACAACCTGCTACAAAATAAAAATATAACCAAGAAACCCCAGAACCTAATAAAGTCCTCAGTTTTTACCTCTAAAAACTGAAAACAACAGATATAAGAAACATTTTTTTAAAGAAAAACTTCAAAGAGGCTAAATTTCAAAGGTAATTAATGAGCAACCAAAAAAATCCAATGCAGCGAAAAATCTTCAACAGTATTAGTTCCCATTACAAATACAACAACAAAAGACACTTTTCAAAGAAGTCGACAACGTTGAAACTTCATAAGATTTAAAAAAACTGGCGGAAAAAGACAACAACCAATGATCTAAGATATCTTCATAGAACTTTCCATCCCAACCCCGGCACTTCGCTCCACAAACGCTGTTTGTCACGAAAAGTAACCATCCCAATCAACTAATGACTTTCTTCCAAGGCGGCATTTCTACACGCGCTGTCGAGTTCTCCAGAACTACCTTCGTTAACAAAATCATAAACTAATAGACCGCGAGGTGAACCAGCACCTGAATCCCGTCCGCTCGTATTTGGGCTGCACCTTGGACTCGAAGAAACTGAATTAAACTGTTCCGACGGAGAGCACCTTGCCTGGGAAGCAGGTAAAGCAGCTAAAATTGATTTAACGCATTATACAGAGTTAA